ATGTTACAGTGTCAACAAACCAAGGATGAGTACTCCTTATGTTCCTGCTATGTTACAGTGTCAACAAACCAAGGATGAGTACTCCTTATGTTCCTGCTATGTTACAGTGTCAACAAACCAAGGATGAGTACTCCTTATGTTCCTGCTATGTTACAGTATCAACAAACCAAGGATGAGTACTCCTTATGTTCCTGCTATGTTACAGTGTCAGAAAACCAAGGATGAGTACTCCTTATGTTCCTGCTAGGCCACAGTATCAACAAACCAAAGATGAGTACTTCTTATATTCCTGCTATGTTTTATTTCTCTAATATGCAAATAATTATAAAGTGAGGTCTTGTCCATTCTTCAGGTAGGAGTTTCTTATATTTTGGTCAGTGATCGTATTTCTAATTTATTTTATATTGATTAAAGAAATATATTTAAAAAAAATCATTAGGGACAGAAAAAATGTTTTTTTTCAATTAAAAATTTTTGAAAATTCTTAAAATAAATATATTTAGAAAATGTTCACATTATTATTTTCAGTCTGAAAACTAATTATGTACATGCAATACCACAGGACAATACCACATACCAGTGTTTAGCAGACATCTCGGAGTGGATGTCAATAAAATCTCTTACAGACATCCAACCATCATTCAAAAACTTGGTCATGTAATTTCTGACACCATCAGGAAGCACGACCACACATCTCTGATTTTCCTTTAATTCTCGAGCAGCATTAACAGCACCCAAAACTGCACTTCCACTGCTGCCACCTAGAATTAAGTTTTACCCTATTCATTAGCACTTAATTTTAACACGCTTAGTACAAAACTTTTCAAGTTTACTATATATATACTCTAAAAAAAGATTACTGCCTAGGTACTTTAAATCCAAGTGTTCTATCCATCCTAGTAAGGTCATCTTTATATTAGTTAGAAGTTGGAAACTGTTTTATTTTAGCCAAAATATCAATGTTAAATGCTTAAATAAATAGAGCTTTACCAGAAAACTTAAACCACATTGGGCAAAAAATTTTTTTTTATTATTGATGTTTATTTTTGTTAATTTTTAAACAAAATTTCATATTTGAAAAGAAAAAGAAAGAAGAAAAGCAAACAAAGCATATTAATGCCATTATGTACTGACACGGAAAGTCTAACAATTACCTGATGCACAAATGAACAACCTGTGTTAAAATTGTTCAAGAAACAATGCTAGTTCTCATTTCACTGGTTGTATTAGAATACTGAAAATAATTCAAATTAATCTTGAGAAATACAAAAGTCAGTTTAGTGACTGTTCAGTTTCTCTTTTTGTTATTACACACTACAATTAGGGCCCGGCATGGCCAGGTGGTTAGGACGCTCGACTCGCAATCTGCGGGTCGCGGGTTCGCATCCCCATCCCACCAAACATGCTCGCCCTTTCAGCCGTGGGGGCATTATAATGTGACGGTCAATCCCACTATTCGTTGGTAAAAGAGTAGCCCAAGAGTTGGCAGTGGGTGATGATGACTAGCTACCTTCCCTCTAGTCTTACACTGCTAAATTAGGGATGGCTAGCGCAGATAGCCCTCGTGTAGCTTTGCGCGAAATTCAAAACAAACAAACAAACACTACAATTAGACAAAAAACTTGCCACTTACCACAGAGTAAACCCTCACTGCGTATTAACTCCCTGGCCATTAATAAGGAATCTTTGTCTGCAGATTTCCACCACTTGTCTACAACCTGAAAACACATTCTGCGGCCGTTTAGCAAAGTCAAATTTACAGTAGCAGCATATATTATCTTATAAAATGTTTTTCAGAACTCAGAAAAAATAGATTCAATACAACACCACTGTTTAAAAGTGAATTGATTTACAAATAAGTCATACAGTAAATCAGAATCTTTTTTTATAACAGTATAAAGCATATACCAAAGGATTTCAATTGTATAATATACGACCAGCTTAACTTCATTTCGTAAAAACAAATATCTTCAAGCTTTGATTCATATCTAGTACATTATATGAAATAAGACTAAAACTATATAGATGAAATATACCATATTTTAGTACGGAAAAGAAGAAAAACATTATTTTCTTCAGCACAAAGCTACACAGTGGATTATAGATGCTCTGCCCACAGATATTTCTTGACATTATGATGTAAAAAATTGTCATTATAAACATTTTCTGAAAGTTTTTAATTAATTAATTACGTAAAAGTTGTTTTTATGTATAGAGATAATTACCAGTACACACGGGTTTTCTTTAATAATTTTTTTTGACGTGTATCAACGAATGAGATACGGGCCATAAGGTTGCTACACAAATTTTTTCTTTCACATCTATAATGTAACAGAATGTTTTATTTTTTTCTTACTTTTATTTTTCAGTACTAATAAGCTGATAGTATATTAACTGTTTGTAAACTCTAGCTAACTTATTTATAAATTCTTAATATACAGATTAAAAGGTTTAACTTTTCTTTAATTAATACTAAATAAAGTTACTACTATTTAAATGTGTAAAAAGAGATGTAACAATACATGATTAAATCCACAACAAATTTTAAATAATTAAAACAGTATCAATAAGTATTTTAACCACACTATATGATAAAGTCATATTTATAAAGAATTAACAAATTAAGTGTGATTTTGTCATATAGAAAAGCCTAAAAGTTAATTTCTGGAAAATCACAGAAACTGGACCACATATTTTCCTCGTACCTTCAATGTTCATCATAATTACTTCTAGAATTGAATGTCTAGCTCATTGTTTTAACAACTAGAGATTTCACATATATGTGTAACTCATTGTTTTAACAACTAGAGATTTCACATATGTGTAGCTCATTGTTTTAACAACTAGAGATTTCACATATATGTGTAGCTCATTGTTTTAACAACTAGAGATTTCACATATATGTGTAGCTCATTGTTTTAACAACTAGAGATTTCACATATATGTGTAGCTCATTGTTTTAACAACTAGAGATTTCACATATATGTGTAGCTCATTGTTTTAACAACTAGAGATTTCACATATATGTGTAGCTCATTGTTTTAACAACTAGAGATTTCACATATATTTTTTACAAATTTGATGCAAAGAAGGATATAAAAAACAAGCATTTTGTAATACACTGGAGCAATAAGCATACTTAAATGATAAATATTCATCTTCAAATATTTTTTTTGTTTTGGTGAGTTATCAGAAAAGCTTGATCTGTTATGTAGATTTAACTTATTTCAAATTAAAATGTAATTTTTAAATCTTTACTGAGATTCCTTTGAACCAAAAATAAGGAATACGTAGAAATCCATTTTGTTAGCCTGTTTATTAAATCATTTTCCAACCAGAATTCTACTTACGCTTCTATCCATCACGGTTGGTACAAAGTCGTACCCAATTCCTTCCACTTCGTAAAAAGATGACTCACAATCATTCAACACTTCTGGCTCTGCCAAAATTGATCCAGTTGGATCAACACCAATTACCTAAGAAACAAGATAATTCTCACAACCTATCAAGACTTATAATAGAATTTTTCAATTTATTTACTTAAAAAAAAAGTTATTTCTTAGCTATCTAGGTAGAGGTAATAGAATTACCTACCAATTTACAAAAACAAGTATTACCTACCAATTTAGTCATCTATTGAAACTCAAACAATGGACACAGTTTGTGGCATACTACTTTTACAAACATTAACTCATCTATTGAAACTCAAACAATGGACACAGTTTGTGGCATACTTCTTTTACAAACATTAACTCATCTATTGAAACTCAAACAATCAACACAGTTTGTGGCATACTCCTTTTACAAACATTAACTCATCTATTGAAACTCAAACAATGGACACAGTTTGTGGCATACTCCTTTTACAAACATTAACTCATCTATTGAAACTCAAACAATGGACACAGTTTGTGGCACACTCCTTTTACAAACATTAACTCATCTATTGAAACTCAAACAATG